GAGGAATAGTTTATACTCATTATTCTGTGATATAAAAAACAAACAACTATAGACAACTCATAGCTCTGATAGAATCCATTTTCTTTTTCTTTTTTTTTTTTTTTTTTTTGCAGTTTTTTCGGCTGGGGCTGGGTTTGAACCTGCCACCTCTGGAATATGGGGCCTGCGCCCTACTCCTTTGAGCCACAGGCACCGCCCTAGAATTAATTTTCTTATATATTTTAGGTGTAGCAGTTAGGGATGAAATTTTTGGTATTAAATATAAAAAGTGTCTTCATAAAGTTCAAGTAAAGTGGATATTATGAACAAATTATACATGAATTTTAACATTATTTTCCACTAAAATAAACTCACAGCAATCATTATAACATGTCTGAACAGGATCTAGGTGGAAGAACTGGGAAGAATACAATAACTCTTTGAAAAGAGCCCCTATCAGACCAACATAAATTCTGCTAAAATTGAAGCAAAAACAAACATCCTGTTTATGGTGAAGCTTGGCTGAAAAAGAGTAAATCACTGATGCTTTACAAAAAATTTATGGGATAACATCTTAAAGAAATCAACAGTTTGCAAATGGAGAACTCATTTTAAGAAGGGATGAGATGGTGTTGAAGACAAAGCTTGGTGGTATCAAGGTCTCGAAGCACTTTGAAGAGCTGTGAGAAGAGATGAATCGTGGCTTTACTGGTTCAGTCATGCAGACAAAGCAGTCCCAGCTAAGAGGTGGGAGTGGTCCCGGCAAAGCAAAGGGGACCCACCAAGAGCAGAGGTCATGGAATTTTGGTTGCTGACTTTCTGAATAGCCAAAGAACAATAACATCTCTTATTATGAGAGTGTTTTGAGGAAGTTATCAAAGCTTCACCATTAAAAATACTTGGGAAAACTTTCTAAGAGAGTCTTTCTCCACCATAAAAATGCTCCTGTCATCAAACAAGGGCAATCTTGTGAGAGTTTTGATAAGAAATCATTAAGGATTCACCTTATAGTCCTGATTTGGCTCCTTTTGACTTTATTTCCTCCTCTTTTAAAAGTCTTTAAAGGTCACCTATGTTTTTTCAGTTAAGAATGTTAAAAAGACTGACTGCAGTCACATGGTTAAATTTCACAGACCCTCAGGTCTTTAGGGACAGACTGAATGACTGGTATTCTTACTCAATACCTTGAACTTGATTGAGTTTATATTGGGAAATAAAGTTTATAGTTTTCAATTTTTATCCTTTAATTTCATTTTTCATGAATTTTTTTGAAGTCCTGTTATATAAGCAGAACTGATTTGTTAATTAAATTTCTTGTAAAATTGATATCATGTTCTAGATATTAACTCTCAAATTTTAAACTTTTGGATAATGATTTCTATATTTCCTTAACAACATATAGATATAGGGAGGGAGGGAGGGAGGGAGGAGGGATTGTGAGAGAACACTGTGTTTTGAAGACCACATTGCCACCAAAACAAAACTTGAAAAATTCAGTCAAAAGATGGGAGAGAAGGGTAATCCAAATAGTTCACTGGCCCTCTCTTAGTAGATCATTGACACTAAACTTCAGCTGTCATATCATTGTGCCTACAGTTTAGACTCAAGTTCAGTTAGTTCTGGACCAACATCCACTTTTGTATGTTTTCAAATAATTTGATGACATTTTTCCTACAATTAAGGTTCTTCATTTTATTTTTATGTCATTGCTCTGGACATAACTTTATGCTACAGAAGTGATGGATGTATTTCTCACATTTAAATATTTCTGCCATACTATACTATATTATTTTGACTCCTTTTCTCTAGTATATTTTTATTTATTTCCCTTTATAGGAAATTGCCATGTCCTATTCAGTCTTTTTCTGGAATAAATCCAAAATACAAGGGGAAGCTGTTAATGAAGAATAGGTGAATTTATTCAACATTTAGCCCCAGGTATTGTAGGTTGGATGAATAGGGAACATATTTGACGTTTGTCATATGGGTGGTGTGAATACTTCTATTCCAACAAAAATAAACCATGATTTGAATATGCACTGCTACTGAAAAATATATAGAGTAAAACTTTTTAAAGTATTAAGTGCTTTCTAACACCTCTCTTTCCATTTAAATATTTACAATTCCTATCAAATGATTGATGTGCTTTATATCAGAGAACTAACATAAGATTTCCATAAGAAAATAAGTTGCTGTTGTACCTGAGATCTTGTTTTAAAGGATGTATGATAAATACATTTGAAATTGTAAGTTTCAAGCTTCCCATGTTTTTAGAATGTGTAGTTTTCCAACTATCTATGTGGTCTTCTTATATTATTTTGTGTGATTTAAATCCTAGCCTCTTATTTTAATAATTGGATGCATTGTTGTGGGCTGTGCATGGCCAGCTAGATTGTATTCTTCATAAAATCTGGGATTGCCTGAGTGGTTACAAATTGTTCATCAGTAAAAATTGTTTTTTGTAAGTGCACTTGTTAATTTTAAGAGTAAAAATGCTCAGAATGGTTTGAGTTCTGTTCTGAAATGAAGCCAGGTTATACATAGGTAGTGCCCAAGTTACAAACATCCAATCAACGTAGACTCATACCTGTGAATGGAGGTTATTACAGGTTAAGACAGGCTATTACCTGTTCCATCTTATATACAAATTCAACTTAAGGACAAACATACAGAACCCATCTCCTTCATAACACAGTAACTACCTGTACCCAAATATATAGATCAGGGTGGGCAGAATGTTAAGTAAATGTGCCCAAGTTTTGCTTTTATCTGAGTAAATAAAAAGACAGTTATTTCACATTTTAACCTCCTTCTTGAACAACACTTTGACCAGAAACATCAATAACTGGAAAAAATCGATCAGTGTTTGAGGTCACTTATATTTTTCTCACTAACCCAGGGGGTTAGCAAAGGAAAGAAAGCAAAAAAGTTAGAAAATTAATGAACTGTGCTTTTAAATTTCCAGAAATTAATTCATAATAGAAAATTTATACTTCTTACCTCTCTATACTTTTGCCTTGGTGTAAGAGACGGCACCTAAGTTTTCAAACTCACAAGTGATATTTGTGAAGAGTTGATAAAGAATATGATTATGAATAAATAGCATGAGGCTCATACCCAGCTCCAAAACACAAAATAAAGTAAGGCACTCCAGATAGAAAGCTTGCAATAATAAGGAAAATATGAGTATATTGTCAGTATGATATTTTTCAATACATTTAGAGAAAATTATAATCTAACAGTGTAAGTTATTTATACCTATTACATAACAAAAGGAATGATCTTCTGCTTTAGTAAGTTTTGTTTATATTTTTATGAGGAAATATCCAAAAATATTTAATCATTATTTGGTTGATAGAACCAAGACTGGTCTCGCAATTTGTGATTTAGCCCAAAGACGGTGCTTTGGCACACTTAGTACCCTGAACTGAAGCAGCAAGAAAGGTCATTTTGATGTTCTCTCATTCTCCTATCTCCCAGTCCACTTTCTCCCTAAAACAAGTCATAGAAACTGGGAATTCCTCCTCTCCAGGGTGGGTTATAGAAACTAGAACTCTTTTTTCCCAAAGCAAGTCACAAAACCTAGATGGGTAGACTTTCTCCCCTCACCCTTGAAATCTCTCAGTGGACAGGTGTCCTCTCTCACACCTGGAGAAAAGGAATAGAAAAGCCAAGAAGGATCTGAACCGGGAATCCTGCTGGGTTTTCTCCCCTCAGTCTATTACCAAAATCATACCCTTCTTGTACAATACATTTCTACCCAATTGTCTGTTCTTCATTTAACCTAAGCATAAAAATGAACAATTTCCCCCTAGGTCTTTGGTTCTAGGCATCATTTCTGAAGCCTCCTGTGTCACACGAGACATTGAATAAATTTGCTCTGCTTTTCTCTTGTTACGGCAACCCATGTTTTGTTATAAGACAGTCAGCTGTGGCCCTTACGATGGGTGAGGAAATGTAGATCCCCTTTCCACCTCTGGAACACAACCCCAGGAGCTGGCCAACCCCAGGCCTGAACTGAAGACAATCATTTCACACTGTTAGACCCACACAGACAATTTAAATCAGTGACTCTCAGATTTGATGGGAAACAAAATATTCTAAAACAAATTTGAGCATTTTTTCTAAATATTTAAAAATTACTTAAGGAATTATTCAAATGGATCTCTAATGCTAATTTAAATTAAACTACATAATTAGTTACTTCTGGATAAGCATAAAACAAGTTATATGTTAATCCCCCCAAATCAATTAGAAACAAAATTCAAAACAATATTGTGGAAGATATTACAAAACAATAATAATGGAAGATATTATGTTGTCCAATCTGAATCAACACTTGTCATGGTAATAATGATAGGGCATGGGACACTTGAACTTGGCCTACATAGATTGCTATGTGATGATCTGACTCTCATCATTTGCACTCCTGTGATATCCTTTGGCTTTTCTTTGACAAGATGTTCATGTGTTAAATTTTTCTCTGCACATTTCTCATTTGCTTAGGGCAACTGAAGTAACCCTTTGCTATTTCACATTAATGTAGTTGAGGGGGAAAAAGGGCAAATAGTACAAATACCACATGGAAGGGTTTTGTTGTAAGGTGATTGATTATACAAAGGATTCAGAATAGGTTTCTATTATTAAGTATTGACACAGAATGAAAACAAAACCCTTACAAATTATCATAGATAGCAGGTGGACTCCCAAGACACTGAACCAAAATGAAAAACAAAAATAACAAACTTAGAACAAGAATAACTAGCATAATGAAAGTGTGCCTTTTTTCATAACCAAATGAAATTTCCAGCTGGTGCTCAAACCCCATGGAGGCAAAGAGGTCTGGCCATACTGAAGTAGAGCTTTGGGTTTTTTCAAAATCATTTTATAGACAAAGCCACATTGTAATCAGGTTCTGAGACACGTCTCACAGTCACCACAGACGGCTTCAGACATCGTGCGTGGCATTAGTACCATCTAAAAAGGCCGTCCGAGTTTACATTATTAAACAGACATCTGACCTTTTGTTCTCTCTCACTGCTTTGTCTCCTTTCTTCCAAGAGATGATTGGTTTTGGAGAGCCTTGGGGTTTGCACTCTATAACAACTTCTCGGCCTTTGGTAACAATTATTGTTTTCTTCAGGTGATTCAGTGGAAAAGTAGGAGCTGAAGCTATGAAAAAGAAAACATTAGTTCTACCCAAATTAATGACAACAATCACTAATGAATGATTCATGAAGATTTTTCAACTTTTTCTTCTGGGATGCATATTTTATAAAATCATAAGATACATATCTCTAAAAGAGACAATAACTCAACATTTAATTTATTATTAATTAATAGGTATCACTTTGGTTCTTTCCATTAGCAGGGGATGGTTTTATACAATGTAAGATCCACAGATAAAGACTATTTTGAAAATTGCAGGCTTAATTCTGATTAACAACTTCAACTGTGAAAGACTAATGAGCAACCTGGGTGAAAGGTCAAGAGGACCACCAAGGAAGTCTGTTTGGGTTTCCTCTGGAAACATGGATGTTACCTGTGAAGAAGTGATCCTGTGTCTTTCATTTCCTATCCAGGAATTATAATTTAATACATGCAAAGGGTGCCAAAAAATGGATATACATTTAAAGAAAGGAAAAAAAATGTACTAAATTTGTAATACTCAAATCAACTTTGGCTTCTGCAGTTACAAGAGGTGCAACATGTGACTTGCATTCGTCTTTTGTTGAAGTCCTAATACGTAGGTTAAATTATTTTATTTTTTATTCAACTTTGGTCTATTTAGTGTTTCTTTTTTAAGTCAAAGTATTATGAGAAGTACAAATATGTTTGCCTATGTGCCTATGTGGATCACTTTAATAGTGCTAGAGTCATTTTTTCTTTTTTTTTTTGCAGTTTTTGGCCAGGGTTGGTTTGAACCCACCACCTCTGGCATATGGGGCCAGTGCCCCACTCCTTTGAGCCACAGGCACTGCCCTAGAGTCATTTTTAAATGCGTGCCTATTACATTTGTATCAGGGGTGTAACTCTAGGAGCTGGCCTTCCCTTTTTTGTAAGGATGATAATATTTGGGGTCCCATGAGAGGAGGGTAATTTACGCTGTACAGGAGCCGCACATCTACTGGTAGGTAGGAACACTTGGGAAAACGGTAAGCGTGGCTATGCAGCAGGGATGCACTGCTGGGATTCTACATTCTGATCTCCTGCCCTCAAAGCATTCTTCTTTGAAAATTAACATATATTTCTTTATGAAATTTTTTAATGCCACAACAAAGACATATTGTGTAAGCCTTTTTTATGATTAAAACTAAAGTTAGGAAACGATACAAACAAAAAGTTATAGGACAAACTACACAATGTAAACCTGTCTGCTAAAGTTTTAAGAAAATATATCAGCAGGACACAGTATTTCTTTTCAAGCCATAAAATAGATTTTTACAACTGCATCATAAAACTTCAGTATAGTAAGAATTAGAGCATGGAAAGAAGCAAGGCTTTCTATGTATTTATTTAGAAATCGCATACCTAGAATCTTCAGCTCAGCACTAGCGTAAATGGCGCCGTATTTATTTTCAGCCAAACACTGATACATTCCAGCATCTGATTGATTTACACTGTGGATCATCAATACTCCATTAACCATCTCAACCCTGCTCTGTAATGGAATAAAAAAAATTATATCTAGAATGTAAACAAATCATTTGGATTTTATGGGTACTGTCTCCTAGACCCACGCACGAAATGTCTGCAATTAACCCAATGAAACATTATTTGGTAATTTAGCAATGTAAATTTACTGTATGATTATTTTATTATAAAATGTCCCTTGTAAATTAAATTATTTCATTGTCAAAGGAATTATATCCGTATTTCCTATAGTCATTCTTAGAAGTTTTGCTTTCAGCTTTGTTTTTAAAATAAGCTGCCGTTTTTATGGTGTGTAATTACCAAAAATTTCACCTTTGTTTGGTAAAACAATCAGCAGATGATGGTTTTACTTGAATTCCTTTTACAAAAGAGAAGCAGAGATTCCACAAGGTAGAGAGGACTGAGGTTATAGACATGTGGGGTCAGAGTTAAAAATAGCCCCCGGGTTATAAAAACAATTCCTTTACTGTGTTGAGCAAATAAGAGTTTGCCTTTTCTCTCACACCCCAATGAACTAATACAAATAGAAAACTGATTTCAATTGGATTCTAGACAAAATTATTGGCTAGAAAATATACTTCATTATCAGAAGAAACTTAACATAGAGGATAGAAAATTGAACATGTGCAAATTAAGGTAAACTAAAGCCAAGAGTGCATTTCAAAGACACATTTTAAATTTAAAATGTTATTAAACAACCAACTGTTTTATCTGCTCAATGCAAGCAAGTCATTTTTTCATCTTAGTGAGCAGTGGTTTATGTATCAAAAGAAATACCAAATCATTATAGACGATACCTAAAAGTTGGCTAGAAATGGCAGGAGTCCATGATGGTCACCATTAGTTTCCTAAGAATTTATAGAATTGAGAAAAATCTTAAAGAAACAATATATTACTCCAAAAATGGGGTTATAAAAATGAAAATAAAATGTTGATTATGTACTTACTATATTTATCACTCAAAATATCTTAAAACGCAGAAGTAGGAAATGACTTTCACCAACAGCCTAGTCTTGTGTGAATTCTTGTTGCACTGGAACAGGTAAATAGCTCCCGACAGTACCTGAGGCGAGTAGGGTGCTCCGTTCTTTAGCCAACGGTAAGTGGGTCTGGGTTTTCCCGTAGCTTTACACTCCCACCGGAGAGGGCTCCCGCTGTCTAACTGAGTATCATTCAGTTTTTCTAGCCAGTGTGGATAAGCTGTGAATATTAATCATTAAATAATGGTGATTTAATTTCTCAAACACTTTACCAAATTCAAAATTCACATGGAAAAATCTATCATATTTTGTTTAATAAATTCATGTAACCATAGATATTTAGAAGTTTGGCAATGCATTACATGCAGCTTTCCAATACCTATCCAAAAAACAAAATAGCAGTGAAGAGATTTTGAATAATTAAAATACTTTTACAAACCAAATGAAGTATATCTTTTTTATTTCTTTTTCTTTTCTTTTATTTTATTAAACCATAGTGGCGTACATTAATACTGTCATGGGATACAGTGTGCTGTTTTTATGCACAATTTGAAATATTTTTATCAAACTGGTTAACATAGCCTTCATGTCATTTTCTTTAGTTATTGTGTTAAGACATTTATATTCTACATTTAGAAAAATTCACATGTACCTTTATAAGATGAATCATAGATGTGATCCCACCAATCACCCTCCCTCCATCCATCTTTCCCCTTCCCCTCCCCTCCCTCTCCCCTTGCCCCATATTCTTGGGCTATAATTGGGTTATAGCTTTCCTATGAAAGCTATAAATTAGTTTCATAGTAGGTCTGAGTACATTGGATACTTTTTCTTCCATTCTTGAGATACTTTGCTAAGAAGAATATTTTCCAGCTCCATCCATGTAAACATAAAGGAGGTAAAGTCTCCATCTTTTTTAGGGCTGCATAGTATTCCATGGTGTACATATACCACAATTTATTGATCCATTCATGGGTCAAAAACAGAGAGGTAGATGTATGGAACAGAATAGAGAAGAGATGAACCCAGCTACTTACTGTTATATGATCTTTTACAAGCCAATTAAAAACATTGAGTGGGGAAAAGATTCCCTATTTAACAAATGGTGCTGGGCGAACTGGCTGGTGACCTGCAGAACACTGAAACTGGACCCACACCTTTCACCATTAACTAAGGTAGACTCTCACTATCTTTTTTATTTCTAACTTTTTAGTTGATCACATTTTGACATCCAGGTAGACAGTGAGAGCTTGGAGAGCAGAGTTGATGCAACCATGTGTATTTACTTAGGAATGACACTGCCCCATGTATAACAGTGGGTTATCAGTTTTTTTGTCAGTTAAATTTAATGATCTGCCTCTTAATATATTATGACTAATGTGGAAGTTAAAAAGAAATTTTAAAAGACCTTAGCATAATAACAAAAACAAAAAAACTCAGAAAGAACTGTTGAAATATTAAAGTAAAAACAGATTTGACACCTGGAAAAAAATGTTTCTTCAAACATATTTTGGATTACTTTGTAAAATGGCCTAATATAGTGCCCTGATTCCAAAAATAATTTGAAATGGGAATCAAGCAAGTGATCAAGGACATGAAAATGAGTTAATTTATGCTGTTCCTTCACATTCTTTTTGGACACCACTATCGGCACAAAGCTTTCCCGGAGAATATCTGATAGACCACAGTGTCTGTGGGCTGTCAGCACGAAATGTAGGTGGGTGAGATGCAATTAAAATATTCTTCAAATTCACTCCATTAATAATTTTGCTAATAAAAATAACTTGTTATGTTGCTCTGATAATTTAAAAAAATGCTATCAGCTTATCAATGCTTGACAGATGCTCTTCCAGACCTTGTTGCTTTGGACAATGACTGTCTCTGGTTTATGTACCTTTTTTGGCCAGTCTGTGTATAGGACTTATATATCGCTCCATGTCTGTCACTATCACTATCATTATCAATATTTATATTTATATGTAGGACACATAATAGTAAGAAAGAACCTGAAACAAATCACAAGTATGACTTGGTGACATCACTGGATTCTCAATATTCTATTCATATCAACTTCCCACTAACTGAGTTAATATAAAAGCTTTCAAGCAAAGCCAGACGGAAACACACAAGCCCCCACATACACACACATATCAACATGCCACAGACACACAGACACACAAAGAGAGTTTGGTTGTGTATAGTGTTGTAATGAAGTCAAGCCCCATATTGGAGAAATACAGTTACTGTCATTATTGAATAAACATTCTCTGACATAAAGGTTATGTGAGTTTAAGAAGTGTCATCCTTCATGGTAAACCGGGAAAAGGTTATATGTTACCTTCAATGCAGGATCAGCTTTACTGTTACTGCAGGTTTTTTGCATTGCAAGATCTTTTCTAAACCACTAGCTCTGTACTAAGTGGACCAAGCTAAAAGAGATGATGTAAATGGACAGTAATAAAATGTAAAAAAAAAAAATAAAGTTTGAAAGAATTTCTCTTAGTCCATGATATGAAAAAGACAGTACAGTATTTTTAAGAACCATGTAGCAACAATAAAATTATTGGTAATGTAAATGAGAAACACAAAAAGTTACATTGAAAAATTTTCTTTGGCAGAGGATTGCAGGTAACTAAAGGGCCTTGGCTTTGGCTTCTGAATAATAACACGGGTGAACTGACATCAAGACTGGTCTGCATTGTCGGGAGTCTTGAATCTGTCTGCAGAAGAAAATGGCAGGTTGTGCCGCGATTAAAATAAACCTAGTATCAGAGCTCCAGTCGCACAGCACAATCGGTTAGCGCGTGCAGATAAAATAAACCTAGTATCAGAGCTCTATTGAGCAATTGGTTAGCTCATGGTGCTGATAAAATAAACCTAGTATCAGAGCTCTATCCCTCAATCGGTTAGCGCGTGGTGCTGATAAAATAAACCTAGTATCAGAGCTCTATCC